AAGCGCTTACGCCATCTTGAGGGCTGAGGCAGGATACTCATAGACACCGGGAGTGGGAGGCAAGGAGGGAGGTGGGAGGCAGGGAGTCCCAGTGTGTGCGTGTGTGTGTGTGTGTGTGTGTGAGAGAGAGAGAGAGAGAGAGAGAGTGAGTGAGTCCCAGGGTCCCTGTACCTCCCAGTGTCTGACCCTTTGGCTTAGGCAGATCAGTGATAGGTCTTAGCCAGGCTTCGACCAAGAAGGTACTAGATCATTCTGGAGGCACTGGGCAGGGATAGAAGTGGGATGGGGGGGTGTAGGCTGCAACTGTTAGCTGCCTCGGGATGGGAGGGCTAAGGCTTTACTCTCAGGAAGGGGACGGGGGCTAGGCCTTGGAGAGGGAGTGGGGGTTTGCTGCACAAAGAAGATGAAAGGCCTTTGGAGCCGACAGAGGTCTGAAGGATATGAACAGAGGTGGGACAGATGGAGATCTGATGTAGCAAAAGGGTGGGACAGATCAGCAGCCGCCCAAGTTCAGCGAGACTTTCGATGCCATAGGGCGGGTGCCACCACGCCCGGTAACGAGGCTTTCGATGCTAGGCCTGTGATCAGGACTCCGTCCAGAGAGCCGGGGCCATGGAAGAGTTGAAGCAAAAGAGTGAGAAATTCCTTCAGCTGCTCCGAAATGGGCCCTAGATGTGCTCAGGAGGCTGAACCCAAGGCAGTGATGGGTAGGACGGGATGGCTGAGGCGAGGGTACAGGGGTGCTGCTTGGTAGCATGTACGAGGGGCAGGTTTGGGGACAATGACAGCTGGTCCTGGGTGAGGTAGGCCAGGGCACTGAGAGTTAGGGATTTTGGATCTGGCTTCTCTGCTTGGAAAGGGTCTGCTGTCCCGTCTCGGAACCGGGACCCTGGGTCACAGAGACCTTATCTACAAGAACCCTGTCCCAGGCCTCTCATAGCCCTCCACCCTTGGGCCCAGTCAGGACCTCTGGGCAGAAGAGGTAGGCTGTGCCCTGGGGGGAGATTGGGCCTTTTAATGGGGGAGGACAAATTGGGCTGGCAGCTCTGGGCATGATTCCTTGCAGCAGCCGTCCCAGCCACCCCCACAGGATGCCAGCGGGCTTGTCTGGCTGCTGCAGCCCTGCAGGCAGGGTAGAGGCCCATGGAGCAGGGAAGCTCAGTTTGGGCTGGTGGCCCCTGCAGCGGGGAGTGGGTGGTGGCATGTGACCGTGTTAAGGGGAGTACTGGCGGTGACGGTGACGGGGGAGTGGGGAGCTGTCTCTGTGGGTGAGTAGACAGGGGTGGGGGCTGGGCTCCTGGCTCCTGGTATTTTTCCACCGGATCCTGTGCCTAATGACTTTCCTGGCCACTGGTCATCCCCTCCGCTCCGCCTGTGACCGGGCGGGGCAGGACCAAGTCTGAGGGCGAGGCGGGGTGGAGGGGAAAGGCGGACTCTTTCACTGCCCACCGGATTCGGGTGTGGCTACCGGGGGGGGGAACGAGTGGGTGTGCGCCAGGGTCGGAGGCCCAGGCGGGGCCTCACTGCTGTCTGACCCCTCCAGGAGCAGAAAGGCACCAGGGGTGCTGACAGATTCTGGGGCACAGACAGGACCAGGGCTCCGAACTCCAGCTCTGCTCTCCTCGCCCCATTTCTCCTGAGGTACCTGCCCACTGCTTCTGGGCTGTGGTCTCTCAGGGAAGGGAGGGGCATGGAAAGAGTCTTTGGACGACTTAGGACAACTCTGAGCAGACACAGGAGATGGAGGAGAAGAAAACAAAGGAAGATTCACAAGAATACATACACAACGGCTGAACAAATGCAGGCTGATGCAGGTCAGGGCCCCCTCCTGGAGGGAAGGCCTCTGTCTTTCTCCTCAAGTGCGTCTGTAGAGGGCACAGGGGTGTTGGTTGGAAGCATGTACGAGGGGCAGGTTTGGGGACAATGAGAGCTGGTCCTGGGTGAGGTAGGACCTGGGGATTCTGGATCTGGCTTCTCTTCCTGGAAAGGGTCTGCTGTCCCATCTCGGGACTGGGACCCTGGGTCACAGAGACCTTATCCTACAAGAACCCTGTCCCAAGCCTCTCATAGCCTTCAGGGTAACCCCAGTCATGGTGGAAAGAGGTTTGTTTACTTTTCCAGAGCCTGACATACCCAGCCTAAGAAGACAACAGTAATTAGAAGTGTAATATTGTTGCCGGAATAGAAAAATAGAGGAACAGAATTGAGTAAGATTTTTACAGAATTACCAAAGAGTTCTACAAACCCGTGCAAAGTTATGCCTTGGGAAAATGGGTTAAGGGTTTAGGGCAATTCCCCTGAGAATCACTCTTAGAGAGTGAGGACTGCTCTGTTCCCACCTGTTCCCTTGGCGGGGGTGGGGGGGGAGCACCCAGCAAATGTACCGTACATATTTGCCAAATAGCGGAACTTCCGTGATGGGTAATCGGAGAAATGCAAACGAAGACAACTATGTATCACATTCTCCATATCAGATTGGCAAAAATGAAGAAAAACTTGATAAAATCCTGTGTTGGCAAGAGCACCAGGAAATGGGTACTGTCGCGTGCTGCTGGTGAAGAGTAGGAATTGATAAGTCCTTTGTGGTTTGTGATAGCACAAAATTGAAAGTGGCACAAACGTGCATACCGCGGCTGCAGAAATAAGCAGGGACGGAGTAACACTGGCCAGGGTCTTGTCTGGAGCAAGTGAATCCAGTGGATTCACAGGACCCAGACTCCGGACGCGTCCTGGGCCATGAGCAGCCAGTTCGCCACCTCTGATGCTGTCTATCTTTTTGAACAGTGTGTCTGTACTTGTGTGTGGACTCGAGGCCTGAGGCCCACGGCAGACCTACCACATGATGATCACAGGGCCTCCAAGGAGGGGTGGAATGTACCCCTTGAGACTGGAGACAGGAGGTGCATCTCGGGAAGGAAAGCGGCCCTGGGGACGAGATCTTTCTAAACCTTTCTCCTCTCTGGAAAATCAACGCCCCCTGGTGGGGGGAGAGGAGAAGGGGAAAGAAAAAGGGATCTGGGAGAATAAAGGGGGTAGGCAGTGAAGAAACCCAGAAGAGAATAACGGGAAGTAGGGACCCTCTGGGACAGTGCCCCGTGATCACCTCCCTCAGTCACCACCTCCTGCAAGGCGAGCTCCCCTGAGACTGGCGATAGCCACACGTGCAGCACCTCACCCTGCAGAGCTCTGGCCTCCCTCCTCTCATTGTCAGCTGACACGTTCCCCACCCCACCCACGTCAGTCACTTGATGCTGTGTAACGGCAAGCCCGATCTTACTTCATATGATCAGAGCTGCCCTGTGCTCAGGCCCGCCACCCACCACGGCAAAGCATGGTGCCTTTCTTGCTCAGCACGGGCATGCCTGGCACCTGAACAGATGTGACAGCATGCGGGAGCCATAGCCTGTGCTAGAGGGTGGCAGGCCAGGGCACTGACAGGTTGGAGGCCAAGCAGAGGGACTTTATTGGAGAGGCTGGGGTCAACATATTTACACAGGCCACGCTTGGGACATTAAAAGCAGCAGGAGTAGGGGTGGGAGGTCCCCACTCAGACAAGTTCCACCTTGGCGTTGGGGTACACCGCCACCACGTCGTAGCCCTCGGGTGGCTTGACGCGTGCCTTGGCGTGGCTCTCGCAGTAGAGCCGCTCGTCCAGGAAGAAATAACCTCGCTGCTTGAGGTTCAGGCCGCAGTCGCTGCACATGAAGCACTCGGGGTGGTAGAGCTTGTCCCGCGCCTTGACGATGGTGCCCCTGGGAGGAAGGGATAGGGCAGTGTCTAGTGACGGACGGACACATGAGCACGTCCCTTCCCTCGCCCTTGAGAGCTGGGGTTGGGGTGGGGCACGCGGGGCAGTACTCACACGATCCCGTGGCCACAGCGCGTGCACTCGGGCAGCCCCTGCAGGCCACTCAGTGGAGTGCCCAGCTTGCTGGCCGTGGGTTTGAGGTTTCGGGGGCCACCAGGCCCAGATCGCTCCCCTGAAACCCAGAGGGATGGTATGAGCCCGGCAGGGAGGTGAGAACTCCATTTCTTCGGTGTGCTGGGTTGGGCCCCTGACTGCAGGGCCATCGGCATCGAGAGCAGGGAGGGGACTCGGCGGGACGGGGCGATGGACAACAGTGGTGGAGTGGGACTCAGCACGTGCGGTGTAGTAAGAGTGTGGGAACAGCGTGGAGCCCAGACGGCAGGTGGCCGGGAAGCAATGCAGGTCACAAAGGGAGTGCAAGTTCTGGGCACTTTAGGAAGTGGGAAGGCAAGTGGGGTCAGGTGGTGGGAGTCTTACCGCCCTCGCCTGCTTCTAGCATGCCCTGCAAGTAGCGGAAGGAGCCCGACTGCTTAGGCTCTGCAGCTGTTGGCTCAGCTGGCTCCCGCAGCATCCTGTACACCTCCGAGCCCAGGTCGACTCTGCAGTCCCGGCTCCACGGGAGGGCCCTGGCTGGGTCGGCACTGGGTGGGAAGAAGAGGTGGACAAGGGACAGAGTTGCAGTTTGGGCCTTTACTCCGCCGGCTCGAGGGGTCTGCTGAGGCTCTGAGTCATAATGCAACCACCTGAGACCTCAGGATCAAGTGTCAAGGGTCAGGATGGGATCTGGAGAGATTCAAGGGGTCCAGGATTAAGACAGGATCTGAGTGTGACTTCAAAAGCCACCTCTGAGGAGGGACAGAGGTGTGGTGGTTGAGGCAGCTGGGTCCCACAGGGCTGACAGTATGGTCTGCCTCTCTGATCTGGCAGCATGAAAAACATACTGGGAGTATGTGGGTGTGCACCCAAAACCCCAAAAGGAGGGAGATGGAGAAGGAACTGTGGCATGACCTCCCCCATGAAGACACTTTCTCACTTTCCTTCTCTTTCTCTCTTAAGTGAGTACATGTGCCCTCAGGCAAATTTTTAAAAAGGAAAAACAGAATCAGCAGGTGGCGTAATGGCTATGTCACTGGACTCCCATGTAGTTGACTGTGGTCCTGGTCCTGGATCTGGTGGCTTAAACTCACCCCGGGCATGTGTATGTGCATGCTCGAGATCCCAAGAGAGCAGAGGAGAAGGGATTGTGGCATGACCACCCCTCAGGGTGATTTCTCACTTTCTGTCTCTCTGGTAAACATGTGTGACCTATAGTAAAAGTCCTTCAAAAAAAAAAAAAAAAAAAGGAAAAAGGAAAAAGAGAAAAGCCAGATTGCTGTACTACCTGGGGGGTGGCGACACGTGCAGTGTGCTCATCTGGGCTGGCAGGGTGGCCTCACTGCTACTGCCATTGAGAGGGGCTGAAAGACGAGGTGGCTGCCCATATGGCGATCCCAGGCCTGCTCTGCCATCTTCTGGCCCAATTCCGGTGGCTGAGGACCGCCTGCTGCTCGCTGGAGTGCCATCCTGTGAGAGAAAGGCCTAAAGCACAGGACATCCTCTGGCCTCTGGTCCTCGCTCACCCTCCTCCACCCTGCAATGCCTGGCTTCAGTGGACGCTGGTGGCCCCCTCTGCTCTGTCATCTCTGGGCTCCTGTGCCTAGCCAGGGAAGGGACTGTGGGCAAGAACTGAGCCGTGGGCATGATTTAATCCCTGCAAAATGAGAAACGCCGTGGAAAGCCAGACACAAAAGCCTGAGTGACTGAGCAAAACCTAGTGGTTCTGACCGCCAGCGCCAGGAAGAACGGCCGTGTGGCTGCAGCAGAGCCTGCGGCTTCCCGTCCCACTACCCCACCACCAGCCTGCCGTCTGTGGCTGACGCGTCTGTGAGAGGAGTACCCTGAGCATGCCCCTCGGCCTGTGAGGAGAGGGCAGTATCTCTGCGGGTGTGGGTCTCCCAGGGCCTGGGGAATCCTTGTCCCTGCAGAGTCTAGAGCTGGGCTGCCCCCTGTCTGCAGGCACACACAAGCACACTCAGGGCTCTGTGAACAGGGGCATGCTCACAAGGACAACGTCCTCTTACAGACACCTGACCACCTGCACACGGGACGAATGGTCAGCCCCAGCTCTGGTCACCCAAGGAGGGACACGGTCACCCCCGGGCCAAGCCTGGGCAGAGCAGCCTGATTTTAGGGTGAGCTCAGATTGGGTCTTGGAGATGGTACCATGTCAGGCCCCCCTCTGCTCCACAGTGAGGACAGGAGCATAGGTAGGGAGGAGAGGCCACTCCACTAGTGGGAAGCAGCCTGGCTCGAACCAGGGCAGCCGCTAGCGCCGGGGCACGATCGTGCGTGCAGGGCTCTGTCCAGACTGCCCCCTGCTTTCTACAGGGCAGGAGCCTGGCAATGAGCAGGCCAGCCGTCAGGCCCCCCATTTCTCTCACCCCTCAGACAAAGGGGAGGGTTTTGCTGGCCAGGTGGCCCCCATAATGCTGCCATGGCAGCAAGACCCCCGTCCTCATCAGGTTCAAAAAAGGCCCTAAGAAACCTGAGCACTCTCACATGTGTCTGCAGGGTGGGCGGGCAGGCCTGGCTGGCCCTAATGGGGACCAGATGCGCTGCAGTCGTGGGGGTGGGGCTGGGTCTCCAGGAGGAGGCTTCAACCGGAAGGGAGAGCTGAAGAGCGGAGGGGCTGGAGGGACCAGAGACAGGGAGGCAGGAGCCTTCACTGGCCCCCCACCCAGCAGGGTGTGGGATTCTATTGCAGGGTCATGGAGCCGCTGCCCCTCCCACGGCCACCCATGCAGCAGCCTCTCCAGGCCTGAACTCTGTTTAGGGTGCACTACCTCAGACTTGGTGTGGGTCCCGGCTCTCTCACTCACTAACCGGGCAAGTCACTTCACCTCTCAGAACCTCAGTTTCTTCATCTGTGCACAGGGAAACACGACAGTCACTGTATCCTAAGTTCCTTGTGGGGATGAAGTGAGACCATCACACGCAAAGCACTTAGCAGGTGCCTGGCACATGGCAAATGCCTGTCTGGTGAATGGCTGTCATGGGGACTCCTGGACTGCCCCTCTGTGTAGTGGTGCACCTCCTCTCCTCCTCCCCTATGCCCCAGCTCCCCTGTGCCCTGGCTCCCCATGCCCCGGCTCCCCTAGCCCCGGCTCCCCTGTGCCCCGGCCCGC